AGCAGTAAAGAATACTGTGATGGAAATAAATAACAAGCTAATAATCATGGAAAGCAGAATTAGCCAAGCAGAAGAAATAATCTCAGAGCTTGAAGACCAAAATACAGAACTAACCCAAACTGTCAAAAACATAGAAAAGAAGCTCAAAAAGACAGAAAAAAACCTTCAACAGATGAATGATTACTTCAAGAGACTGAACCTAAGAATAATTGGCCTTCCTAAGGCAAAGAGAGACACAGAGACCACACTGGAACAAACATTTCATGAAATCATTCAAGAAAACTTCCCTCATCTCATCAGTGACGCAAAAATTCAAACATTAGAGATTCAGAGAACCCCTGCAAGACAACAAATGAGAAGATAAACTCCCAGACACATAATAATTCACCTAAACAAAGTAGGTATAAAAGAAAAACTCCTAAAGGCAGCAAGAGAAAAATGTCAGACTACTTACCAGGGAACACCAATTAGAATAGCAGCAGATTTATCTACAGAAACCCTTCAGGCTAGGAGAGCTTGGAGCCCTATCTTCAAAGTTCTAAAAGATAAAAATTTCAACCGAGAATAACCTACCCAGCCAAGCTAAGCTTCATCAGTGAGGAAGAATTGAAATCCTTCCCAGATATCTGATCCCTAAGAACTTACACTACCACCAGACCACCTCTACAAGAAACATTTAACAAAGTATTGAACACAGAAGAAAATGAAAAAAGAACAACAACGTTCTTCACAAGAGTACAGGAAAAAGATTAAAAACACACATGAACCAAACCCAAAACCAAAAGAAAGACAACAAACAGGAACAACAACAACAACTCTGCAAGAACCATATGATAGGGATCAACTCTCACATTTCAATAATTAGCTTGAATATGAATGGACTAAGTGCACCACTGAAAAGATATAGAATGGCAAAATGGATAAAGTATCACCAGGCAAAATATATTGCTTTCAAGAGATTCACCTCACTAAAAAAGACACTCACAGATTCAAAGTAAGAGGATGGGAAACAAATTTTCAGGCGAACAGAACACAAAAGAAAGGAGTCACAATCTTAAACTGAGACAAAATACCCTTTAAGCTATCAAAAATTAAAAACATACAGAAGGCCACTACATAATGATAAAAGGTTCAATCTGTCAACAAGAAATATCCATCCTAAACATATATGCACCCAACATAGGAGCACCAACTTTCATAAAGCAGCTACGAGGTAAACTTAAAAAAGATATTGACTCTAAGACTATAGCAGCTGGGGACTTTAATACCCCCCTCACAACCCTAGACAGATCATCAGGACAAAAATCAGCAATGAGATCCAGAACCTCAATGTGACTCAAGACCAAATGGACTTAATTGATACCTACAGAACACCCCACCCAATGACCACAGAATATACATTCTACTCATCACCACATGGAACGTACTCTAAGATTGATCACATACTTGGCCATAAAGCAAGCCTAAACAAATTTTAAAAAATAAAAGTTTTGCCATGCACCTACTCAGACCAAAGTGGAATAAAAATAAACATAAACACCAACAAGGTTCCCCCAAAACCCACAAAGACATGGACACTAAACAGCATGATGCTAAACAACTCCTGGGTCAATGATGAAATCAAAACAGAGATTAAAAGATAACTGGAAACAAATGAAAATAAAGAAACATCTTATCAAAATCTCTGGAATGCCATGAAAGCTGTAGTAGGAAGGGAATTCATATCTCTACAAACGCACATGAAGAAAATAGAAGGAACACAAATCAACAGCCTAACAAGTCACCTAAGGAAGCTGGAAAAGCAAGACCCCAAAACCCTAATTTCACCAGAAGAATCCAGATCACCAAAATAAAGGCCCAAATCCAGGACATAGAAGACAAAAAGATAATACCAAAAAATCAATGAAACTAAAAGCTGGTTCTTTCAAAGGATGAACAAGATTGATGGTCCCCTAAATAGACTGACCAAGAGAAAGAGAGAAAAAGCCCAAATAAACACAATCAGAAACATAAAAGATGAAGTCACATCTGACCCAGAAGAAATACAAAAGATCATTAGAGACTACTATGTACACTTGTATGGAAACAAACTTGAACACCTTAAGGAAATGAAGAACTTTCTGACATCACACAACCTGCCTAGGATGAAACAAGAAGAAATCAAGACCCTAAATAGATCAATAACAATAAAGGATATTGACTATGTAATAAGAAAACTGCCTACCAAAAAAAGCCCTGAACCAGATGGCTTTCCAGCAGAATTCTATATGACATTTAAGGAGGAGCTGATATAATACTACTGAAAGTATTCCAGGAGATTGAGAAAGATGGAACTCTCCCCAAATCATTTTATGAAGTTAACATCACATTGGTACTCAAGCCAAGTAAAGACCCAACAAAGAAAAAGAACTACAGGCCAATATCTTTGATGAACATAGATGCTAAAATTCTAACAAGATCCTAGCAAACCGGATTCAACAACACATCTCAAAACTCATCCATCATGACCAAGTAGGCTTCATCCCTGGGATGCAAGACTGGATCAATATTCATAAAACCACAAATGTAATCAAATACATCAACAGATGTCAAAACAAAAACCACATGATTATTTCATTAGATGCAGAAAATCTTTTGATAAAATCCAGCACCCCTTCTTGATAAAAACCCTCGAACATCTAGGTGTACACAGAACATACCTCAAAATAGTAAAAGTCATCTACAAGAAACCCACAGCCAGCATACTCCTAAACAGACAAAAATTGGAATCATTTCCCTTGAAAACTGAAATAAGACAAGGATGCCCACTCTCACCCCTCCTGTTCAATACAGTATTAGAAGTCCTGGCTAGAGCAATCAGAGAAGAGAAGGCAATCAGGGGTATCCAAATAGGAAAAGAGGAAGTCAAGCTATCTCTCTTTGCAGATGACATGATTGTGTACCTTGAAAACCCAAGAGAATCTGTCAAAAACTTCCTTGCACTAATAAAGGACTTTGGCAGTCTCAGAGTATAAAGTAAATGTGCAAAAGACAATCACATTTCTTTACACCAATAATAAAAAAACAGAAACCCAAATAAAAAGCACAATCTCATTCACAGTAGCCACAAAAAAAATGAAATACCTTGGCATCTTCCTAACCAGAGATGTGAAAGACCTTTACAAAGAAAACTACAAAATTCTGCTCAAAGAAATCAAAGATGACACAAACAAGTGGAAAAATATCCCAGGCTCATGGATTGGAAGAATCAACACTGTGAAGATGTCCATCTTACCTAAGGCAATCTACAGATTTAATGCAATACCCATCAAATAATCAGCAACATTGTTCTCAGATCTAGAAAAAACAATACAGGAATTCATATGGAAACACAAATGACCAATAATAGCCAGAACAATCCTCAGCAAAAAAAAAAAACAAAGCAGGAAGTATCACACTACCAGACTTTAAACTTTACTATAAAGCTACAATAATCAACACAACTTGGTATTAGTAAAGGACAGGAATATAGATCAAGGGAATAGAATTGAGATTCCAGAAATAAAACTTCAATTTCTCAACCAACTCATCTTTGAAAAAGCCTCCAACAACAACCACTGGGGAGAGAACAATCTATTCATTAAATGGTGCTGGGAAAACTGGCTGACCACATGCAGAAGATTCAAACAAAATCCCTATCTAACCCCATACATAAAAATTAACTTAAATGGATCAGAGACCTAAATGTAAAACCTCAAACCATAAGAACTTTAGAAAATGCAGGACACACTCATGGAAGTTGGAACTGGCATCCAATTCCTAAGCAAAAACTGAAATGCATGGGCCATTAGACATAAGATAGACAATTGGGACCTCATTAAACAGACAAGTTTCTGCAAAGTCAAAGAAACCGTCAAGAGAGCAGGGAGACAGCCCACAGAATGGAAAGTATTTGCCCGCTCCATGTCTGACAAAGGCCTAACATCTAGGATCTACAAGAAACTCAACTGTGCTGAAAAGAAAAAAACTAACAACCCCATTACAAAGTGGGCAAAAGATATGAACAGACACTTCTCAAAAGAATACATATGAGTGGCCAACAGATACATGAAGAAATGTTCAACCTCACTAGTCATCAAGGAAATGCAAATTAAAACTACACTGAGATACCATCTAACTCCAGTCAGAATGGCCATTATCAATAACTCAAAAAATAACAGATGCTGGAGAGGATGTGGTGAAAGGGAACACTTCTACACTGTTGGTGGGAGTGCAAACTAGTGCAGCCTCTGTGGAAATCAGTGTGGCAATTCCTAAAAGCTCTAAATATCGACCTTCCATATGACCCTGCAATTCCCCTACTGGGAATATACCCTGAAGAACTCAAATCACTCTATAAAAAAGATACCTGCACACGTATGTTTATCGCAGCATTGTTCACAATAGCAAGAACATTGGAACCAACCATGCTGTCCATCAAAAGAGGACTGGATTAAAAAATGTGGTACATATACCGATGGAATACTATGCAGCCATAAAAAAGAACAAAATCATGAATTTTGCAGCAACCTGGATCGAACTAGAGTCTATAATGCTGAGTGATCTCTCACAGAAACAAAGATCTGAGTATCCCTTGCTCTCACTCATAAGTGGACCTTGAACAATTATCATAAAACTATAAGAAAAGGATTGACAGAGGTGGAAAACTATGAGGTGGATAGGTAGGGGAAGGTAGGTGGGATTAACGGTAGTCAATATCTGTCTGGGGATGGGGGGGCACACACCATCAACAAGTGTACCTGCACAATGCATATTTGTATACCTAACCCTTAACTGTACCCCACAATTTTAAAATAAAAAATATGTATTTAAAAAAAAGAAACTGGAAATGACACAAACAAATGGAATAACATGCCCTGCTCATGGATTGGAAGAATCAATACATTAAAATGACCATAGTGCCCAAAGCAATCTATAGATTCAATGAAATCCCTATCAAAATACCAGAGCATTTATTTTACCTTTTCTTGTAATTAGTACATCCTGAGACAAAAACACATCATTCAGGAGGGAATAATTGGACATGTTGTTTTCTTTCATGGCCTGGAAGGAGCTATTTTTGACAACTAAGCTCAGTTCTTCCGGTTCCAACTTCTTACCAAGGAATTGACAGATCTTCTCTACAGTTCCTCTTATGTCCTAAAAAAAGAAAAAAGAAAAATGAGAGTATGAAAGAGAAAGACAAAAGATAAAATAAGATGAGATGGAGAGAACTGCTAATGAGAAGGAGGAGAAACAAGATGAGAGGAACAGCATACAGAAGTGAGAAGTGATTGAGATGAATGCAACTAGCAGAATGAAAAAAGGAGAACAAAGTATGCAAAAGATGTGAAAAACTCCCGGTATGCTTGAGTTTAGGACAACTTAATAGTAAAAGACAGAGCCTTGGGTTTCTAAAGAGACTTCTATCCCTCTCTTGGCTTCTAGACAATAATCAGGATTAGCAAGGAGAGGTTCAGAAAAACTTGACAAACACTTAAGGGATTGATTTCAAATCCTAACTGTGCATTCAAATAATACTGTTTCCCAAAACTAACAATCAAATAATGCATAGAATTTTACAATATCTTCTTATATATCATCTCAAAAATTCATACTTGATACATGATCCTGGGAGGTTAAGTTAAGAAAATAGAGTTTTTATAACCAGGAAGATTTTGCATTGAGACATGGACCTTCCTCTTAGAACTTAAGTGATTTAATTTTTCCTTTATTTCATAAGTCCTGGTTGTTATCTAAGGAGACGACACACAACTGTGGGAATAACTAAAATAAAAGCTCATTGCGTCATCTGAAAGAAAAATCAGAGGAAGGAATGGGATCATGTGCCTAAGATAGCTAGATGTGTTACAAAAGGCTTCTTAATAATTATGAATTCATGCTTAGGCCATAGGAGACTGGACAGGAGTAGCCAGAGGAAGGTGATAGAAAGTCATGTTTCTCAGGCAAAAGCAAAATCCAGTGTTTGTTATTTTCTTTTTTCTCTAAGATACCACTAATAGATCAAACTTCTTTTTTTGATGGTCTATCACTCTTACTGGTTTCAAGCATCATTTGACATCTTTTCCTGTCTATCACTAGTCACTCCAGGAGTATTTGGCATCTTAGAATATTTGTACACAAATTGATTTCATGCCATCATTTCTCTTCATATCAAGTTGAGATACCAGACAGTTGGACACACCTCTGGAACTAAAACATTTCTACCTAGTCCCATCTTCTTCCCCAGTGCCCTTTCATCACTAGATCATCAGAGTCACCATGTGTCCTAACCTGAGAAATTTTTACAACCACCAGTGCTAACATAAGCCATTGTACTCTGCCTCAATGCAAAGAAAAAATCTCTTTAGATGTCTTAAGAGGAAATAAGGGAGACTATGTGAAGAAAGGGCATGAAGCTTGGGGAGGGTCAACCAGAAATAGAACAGTGAAGACCAGGGAGCTAATCTCACTCTTAATTCCTCTTCTTCAGGCTAAACTTTGAGAAGGTGGAACGGAGACAGAAAAATTCAGGGAAGTTAGAGGAAGTGATGGTGGTGGTGACACAGTGTGTATTGACCATAAAAATGATGGTTACCTGTTTCAGTTCTTCATAACTCAGTATCAGGAATGTGTTCCTTTCTCTCATGGGCATCCAGCCATGAATGTGGTCAAACCATGATCCGTATACCACTGTGTGGAGTTAGGCAGCAAGAGTGATAGGTTACAAACTCTGTGAAAGCAGAGGTCCAATCTATTTTGTTGACTTCCCACCAGCTTCATTAAGGTATAATTCGCAAATAAAACTTGTATACACTTATAGTGAACAGTATGATGTTTTGATATATAAAATATTATGAAATGACAAAATCAAGCTCATTAACATATTCATCATCTCATATACCTTTTGTTTGGTGGGAAGAAATTTTAAGACTTTCTCTCAAATCAATTTCCAAGTATATATTATTATTCTGAACTATAGTCAACATGCTGTACAACAGATCTCCAGAAGTTATTCATCTTCTCTAACAAACTTTGTGCCCTTTGACCCACATCTTCCTAATCTCGGTTCCCAGAATCCCCCACTTCTGTTGACCTCCATTCTACTCCATTCAATTTTTTTTATTCCACATATATGTGAAATCATGCAGTATTTGTCTCTCTGTGCCTGACTTATTTCACTTAGCACAAAGTCCTCCAGGTTCATTCACGTTGTAGCAAATGGCAGGATTTCCTGTTTTTTTAGGGTTGAATAATATTCCATTGTATATACAGTGAGCTCCTGTATCTGTGGGCTCCACATGCAGGCTCAACAAACAGCAGGTAAATACAGTATTCACAAGATGTAGAAACCCAGGATGTGAAGGGATTTATTTATCATTATTCATTGAGATCTAACAATTAAGTTCATGAACTTGCTGACATAAGCTTACGTTGGTGGCACTGCACAAATAAATGTATTGGAACACCCTCCCTATTCACCTGATCTGACCCCCCAATGACTTTTTTCTTTACCCAAAGATAAAGGAAATATTGAAAGTAAAACATTTGATGACATTCAGGACATCAAGGGTAATATGATGAGAGCTCTTATGGTCATTCCAGAAAAAGAGTTCCAAAATTGCTTTGACAGGTGGGCTAGGCACTAGGATCGGTGCAGTGATATTCAGCAATGAGGTATTTCTCACTTTTTCTAGTATGAGTTTGTGAACCTAATTGTTGAACCTCGTATCTTTTCAGACTAAAACTTTTAAACAGTTATATTATCACACCATAGCTAAAGCAACCAAACAAACCCCACAAGCATTCTTTACTATCTCCTAATCTCTAAATAGTATTTAATTTTTCTAGATTATTTCATAAATATCTTTTCATGTTTATTTTTTCCCTTGGACTGCTCAGCAAAAATGTTTGGTTTTTAAAAGTTGAAATCCAATAAGATACACACATGACATTGGGTTGACATATGATTGATATTGGGTTGGCATTCGTTGGTTTCAAGCAAGCAACACCTATAACCACCTCTGGGAAGGAATCCTACCTCATAGAGAAGAGAGAATAACAAAACCAGTGGCCTTCAGTGACTCCTACAAATAGCAATTATGGGTCATTCATTTTTACCTTCCTCCTGGCCACATCTAGCCTAGTGGTGCACGTGTTTCTGGTACACGTGGTTGGTCTTGGGAGATGGGACCCAGAGCAGAGACCATACAGGCCCTGAAACAGTATGCTTAGGTCTTTTTGAGGGGAGCAGATGAGATGTGGGGAGTGAATGAGTGCTGTCCAGACAGCAAGCCTCGAGCAAAGGCAAGGCCCCAAGTGAAGGCAAGCTCCCACTTGGTTGCTCTGCATCCTAGCCAAAGAGCAAGGGATTTACCCTGCTACATGGAATGGTGTCTCAGAGCCCACATCTGGGTGCAAATAGTACAGATAAGTCTCAGTGAAAAGATAACCATGGAACAGCTTGCCATTCAGGTAGTAACAAAATTCCATTATAGCTCCCTCAAAGACCATGAATCCCTCCCAACTTCCTTCATGCTTGATTATAAAATATACATGCTGAGTTAGTTCAGGGCCACTTCTCCTCCATTGGGGGAAAGTGTCCCATCTGGCCCCAGTTTTTCTTTATGTCTTTGTGCCTGTGTCTTTCTTAATCTCTCACCACTCTCTCTCAGGACCATCAAGGCAGCCACGTGAGACGTAGCATCTGGTGCCTGAACAGGGACCTGAGCACAAGAGAACTCCTAATCTCAGGCAAACAGACGCTCTGAGAGAAATGTGCACCTAAAAATAAGGGAAGGTAAGGAGCGGATTTAGTTTCAGCTTGGTGTAAAACATGGATAGTTCTGGCTCCCAATAGAGGAGTCTGTATGTCCAAGTGTTAAAATCTGTGCTTCAGGCAAGAGGCTGCCCAGTTAAAGGTTCTCAGAGGAATTTTTCAACTTTGTGCAGGAAACATTCCCCTGGTTCCCTGCTCAAGGGACAGTTAATTTGGATACTTGGAATAAGATCAGTAAACAGCTTAGGGGGCAGAAGGCCCTGATAAGGTTACCATCCCTACATTCACCCTGTGGTTTTTGATCTGGGATTGCCTCAGCCCACAGCAAGAGGACTCTCAGGTACCATTAAACACCATTGCAAATAAGCTGCCTCTGTCTGCATCACCACTCCCTCCACCTGACTTACCACCCCCTCCACCTGATTTACCACTGCCACCTGAGGCTCCTCTAAAAAATGGGTGTGAGCCAAATGCAGGGTCTGAAATGGACCAAGGAATCCATGACTCCAATGATGACTTGGATCTTAAAGAATTTGTCAATTTAACCTGTGTGGCCTGACCTTCAGCACCTATCTTGGGTGCCCAGCCAAAGCTAAAGGCAGCCCTGCCATAGCCCGCAGCATCTCCACTGCAACATTGTTTACAAAAGGCTTGTGAAGAGGGGGAGAATGTAACTGGCTTCCATTTATACCCAGTAGTTGAGTGGCCTGAACCAAAAGACACAGGACAGGGACACCTTGAACTTAACCCAAAAATCAATGGCAAGTCCTTCAAGGGCATCATAGACACTGGGGCAGATGTTTCTGTCACTGCCACAAACCATTGGCCAAGAGCCTGACCCCTTAATAGGGCATCCACTGACCTGTTGGGTATTGATCAAATTCACTCCCTTGATCAAAGTGCTGAAATTTTAAAATAGGAGGATGGGGAAGGTATGTCAGGATTTTTCCAGCCATATGTCCTTTCCAGCCTTCCTGTGACTCTGTGGGGTCGTGACATTTTGGCAAATATGGGTCTTTTGCTTCTTAGCCCTGGGTCAGCTGTCACTCATCAAATGTTAAATCAGGGGTTTAACCCCACAATGGGCCTGGGAAAGTATCAGCAAGGAATGTCCACCCCCATCCAGGCTACCCCACGACCAAAGCGACAAGGCTTAGGTTACTCCTCTCAACAGCTTTTTCAGTGGGGGTCTTGATCCTTTCTCCAACCCAGACCGCTGCCAAAATTACTTGACTTAATAATAATCCTGTTTGAGTTGATCAATGGCCCCTAACCAAAGAAAAACTCCAAGCCATTAATGCCCTTGTTCAGGAACAGCTTACAGCAGGGCACATAAAACCTACTCTCAGCGCTTGGAGTAGTCCTATTTTTGTAATAAAGAAATCCTACAACAGATGGAGACCACTGCAAGATCTTCAAGCAGTTAACCAAACTATGGAATCAATGGGACCCCTACAGCCAGGGCTTCCTTCCCCTACTGTTATTCTATGGAATTACCATCTAACAGTATTATACTTGAAAGACTCTTTCTAAACCACTCCTCCCCATCCAAACAATTGTCATCGTTTTGCCTTTAGCATTCCCTTGCTTAACCACCAAGTGATATTGCTGGTGGGTTCTGCCCCAGGGTATGGCTAACAGCCCTATTATGTGCCAAGAATATGTCACAAGAGCCATCCAACCTATTAGAGAGACCTATCCTACAGCTTATATCATCCATGATATGGACGATGTTCTTGTGGTCCATGACAACCAGAAAGAATTACTTATCGTATTTGCCTGCCTACAAGCTTCCCTTTCCAGCAATGGCCTGATAGTGGCACCAGAAAAGACCCAAAATGCTTCCCCCTTTTCATATTTGGGCCATATCATAGAGGGGCATAAAATATGCCCTCAAAAACTTCAAATCAGAACAGGTTCACTGTGCACCCTACACAACTTCCAAAACCTTCTAGGCTATATTGGCTCTGCAGTTCCCTTGGGCTCACCACTAAAGAGTTTGGGCCACTATTTGATATTCTCTGTGGGGACTCTTCACCAACCTCCCCATGCCAACTTATGCCCACAGCCACTATAGCCCTCCAAAAAGTAACTGGAGCTATTTTATGACAGTTAATAGGCTCAGAACCTCAAGTCATTGCCTTCCATACACAGCAATGCTGGTTATGGCAAAACTCTAACAACTGGCAACTTTCTCTTGCTAATTTCCCTGGCCTCCTTGATAATCATTACCCTCAAAATAGATTGGTACAGTTCATTGCCACCACATTCTTCATTTTTCTCAAAGTGATCAAGACTTCCCCTGTCCCTGCAGCATGAACCATTTTTACATATGGCTCTAGCAATGGCAAGGCAGGATATTACAGTAAGATGGGCTCCTTTGTCCAACAAACCACTCACACATCCACCCAGAGAGTGGAAATCCAGACACTCATTTTGGCCTTGGCATATTTTATTGATAGACCACTAAATATTTATAGTGACAGCATTTATACAGTGGGTGTTGCTCAGGTGATTGAAACAGCTACAATTGGCCACACCAACTCTGAAACAATTCTTCAACTGTCCTGGGCTTTATAACAGGTAATTCGAGCTCACCAATTTTCTTGTTTTGTGGGCCATATCCACACCTATTCAGGACTCCCTGGCCCCTTAGCTTTAGGTAACCAAGCTATAAATCGTTTGACAACAACCGCACAGGCTGCTGCACAAGCCTCTCATGCCATATATCACCAAAATGCCTCAAGCTTCTGAAAAGAATTTCACCTTACCAGAGAACAAGCCTGTCAAGTCATTCATCAATGTCCCAACTGTGTTATTCATTGACCAGGTGCAGCCCATGGGGGTTAACCCCTGAGGACTCAGACCCAATGTGTTGTGGCAAATGGACGTTACCCATATCCCAAGCTTTGGT